CCCCCCTCCTTCGTCTTCGTCTGCCAAAAGGAAAAAACACAAGTACCGTTTTTGGATTTTCAGATCTGGGGAAGGGAGAAATTTATGTCAATTTTTTTTCTTTCTTTTTGGGTTGAAAATCCCTTCTTTTAGCTAACTGGAGAAGAAAAAATCTTAGTTAAGAAAAAAGGGAAGAAACAAAAAAGAATCCGGCGATTCTAGCAACCACCGGCCATTGCTCATTTCCTTTCCTCCTTCATCTCTATTATTCTGTTTCGTTGTTGTTTTAACTGATAAAAGAGCAGAACTGAAAGAAGTGACCGGACATTTAATATTTCGGCGGCTACCATTAAAATCGGCGACATTTATCACCATTTCTGGTGTTCCATCGTTGTGGTATCGGAGATTCGTTCGTGTTCTGTCTATTACTGATTTCGCGGTTGGTGTGTAAATGTTAAAACCTTGATAACATATTATTGTTGCTTGTCGCCTCTTTGGACCTGGCCATAGTTCTGACTTTTCCGGCGATCTCCATTAATAACGGCAATAAAAATTTTAAGGCAACAAGGTAATGATGGTGAACTGGCGGAGGGAGAAAGAGAGAGGAAGGGGGTGACGTGGACGATGATGTGCCAAAGAATAGGAGGAAAAAGAAAGTAAAAAAAAAAGTGTAATACACGCACTATGTCACATCATCAAATTGTGTTTAAATGACACATTTAAGATATGGTTGGAGTGTTCAAACAAAATAAACTTAAAATAAGGTGTTTAAGTGAAAAGTGAGTACAATTTTAAGGGTAGTTGGCCTATTTATTAAGAACCAAATTCATGCTATCTTTGACTAACCATCCATTTCAACATTCAATATGGCAGGCTTTCTCATTAAACTATTGTAACAATTAAGCAACCACTTCCCCACCACGAAAAAACAAGAAAAACAACTAGAAATTGCTAAAAAAAAATTAAAAAAATTATGAACAAGAAAAATCTAGATCCGAGGTTTCCACTTCATCATTTCAAGAATTCTATTAAGTTATTGATCAAAAATTAACTTTTTTCATGTAAAATATTCTTGATCAAAAAACAGTAAATTTTCGAATAACATAAATTATCTGTTACATAGCTATTACCAAATAGATTTCTTATTAACAAATGACATGGTAGAATTAAATACTGAAAACTCCATTAGAAAAAAAAATCAAGACTTGACAACCCTTTTAACTTAATGTATTACAGTCTAAACAATTCAAAAGCATACCTTAGAGCAAACAGAAAACCAAAATCTGCAAATCTCTATAAATTGTTCAGGCTTTCAGTTGATATCCAGTGTAGCTGTGCATTAAAACCTGTATAGTTAAAATATTAATCAAACAAATTTGCAAGAATTTATCTCATATCAGACAATTCTGATCTCAATTATCTGCCACTTGAGCTAAATAAAGGGTGTGAAAAAAACAGAGGAAATTATTCTGATTTTCAAGAATTAAGGGGAGATAAAAAGAAAATGAAAAAGTCTGCTCCATTGAAGGGGATGATCAAATTAATAGAAGAACTGTTAAACTTACATCAATGAATAAATCTGAAATATGGGTATTGATAAATTTATTTTTGGCGAAAAGAGAAAGTGAGACAGAGGAAGACGTGTGGGTGAGCAAGAAGAACAGAACTTAGGGAAGTATTATGAGGTGCAGAGATATAGGACAGAAAAGGAAAGGAGACACGAGTTTAATTAATACGTACAGAATCTTATACTAGTAGTAGTACATTAATTGTGTTTACTTTTTAGTTTCGTCAATATTTTAGTAATCTCATTTTAAGTTATATACGGTGATAGGGTAAATATTCATTATAGGAGTATTACTTTAATTAATTATAGCAAGTTAGTTTTATTTTTTATTAAATTATTAATATTTTTCTATCCAATTTACCTGTCATACTCCTTTTTAGTCTATGTAAAAAATACACATTTTTTTTTATTTAAAAGTAATTTTATTTTTAAATTTTTATTTTACTCTTAATAAGATGATATGTAATCACAAAAATATTTATGACCTTTGTTTTTATAATCGTGGTGTCCAGGTCAGTCTGTGCACACCTCAACTAATTCCACGGGATACATGTCACTTCCCACCAGCAACAACATATACTAGATAACACTATCCACCTAGGTTTGGATAAATAAGAAGAAATCATAATATTTTTTGACTCCGCTTGAACTTGAGACATCATGGTTCTCACTCACTTTATTAACCACTAGGTCATACCATTAAGTGCAAAAAACTTATGATTGATTTTAGACTTAAATTTCAAAAAATAAATTTCTTCTTAAACTCTGTGTCCAATCAAATATCATCGCCTAAATTAAGACGAAAGGAGTAATATATTATTATAAAAATTTACCCACCCCAAAAGAAACTATCCTTATTGCCATCAAAATATTATTTTACGTAGATGATTAATATCAGAGAGTTAATTCCATCCTAAATCTTTGGATTTAAATTCAAATATTTATTAAAATATATAAAAGTTATAGTTAAGTATCACTTTCTTCAATTCTTGAAGAGGCAAAATTTAATCATTTTGATATGAAAAGAATATAGGAGTAATAGATAACGGAGGAGAAATGCTTATACAATTAGTCTTTTATCTCAGTTAATGAATGTTATAGTTTGTATTTCTTAGAGGCACCTTCATTAACAATATTTTTATTTTAGTTCCACTTTAGTAAAAAATTAGCTTTCAATATTCAGGCATCTAATGTTAAATAATGGATAAGGCAAACGTAAACAAAAAAATATGAGAGAGCCATTGATCAACCTATCATAGTTGTTGGTTGTCCACAAAAGTACATTTCTATGCTTCATGAATCATGTCATATTTGATTTGACACAAGAATCCACTTGCCGACTCTCTTTCACTTTTCTTTTTATTTTCACGTGATATTTAACAATTTAGGTCGTTCACGAAACAAGTTATCATATAATTAATTATTCCAAAATTAGTAATCTTATTCTTTCATAGGATAAAAGAAATACTATAATTTCGGGATAACTAATCCCGTGATTAGTTATACAATAATTTTATTTCAACCAAACGTGGAATAAATTTATCTCAAATTTAATACCGAGATTAGTTTTCCCTTATCCCTCGTACCAAACGAGTAAAGAATAAGAAAATGATAAATTCAATTTCATTTATCACTTTTATATATCTTTTTTGTTGTAATTAAATATAATTTTAAAAGTAGCTAAGAAAATGAATTTATCTTAAATAAATTTGGACGTCCAATGTCATCAAAGCTAGAAAATGTTCCGAACGGGTTTAGCAAAGCCTACCTCTGATGCCCGCAAGGATTGACTGAGTTGGTTGGGTGAGTAGTTTCTCACGTGAAAGACTTGAAATTGATTCCCTCAGCATCTTTCTGAGTCAGAATTTGTCGTACCGGACTTGCTTAGTACGGTTTACCTCTCCTGTGTGATTTGCAAGTTATTGCACAGTAAGCAGGTTACCCATCGAATAGCAGCGGTTAAGGAAAAGGTAATGGTGAGAAAAATCTGAATGAGAGACTGAGAGCTATTGATCAGCCCACCATAGCTGTTGGCTGTCCCCATAAGTCCATTTTTATGCTTCATGAATATGACATAACAATCCACTCGCCAATTTATGACTCTCTTCGACTTGTCTTTTTATTTTTTGTGATATTTAACAATGAAAAAGTGAGAAAATGATACGTATAATTTCATCTTTTACTTTTATATAATATCTTTTTTGTTGTAATTAAAAATTTAAGTTCAAAAGTAGCTAGAGGTAAACTTAATGAATTTGTATTCAATAAATCGAACTTTCAATGACATCAACGCTAGAAAATGTTCCGAACGGACTTAGCAAAGTAATGACATCAACGCTAGAAAATGTTACAAACTGATTTAGCATAGTTTACCTCCATGATACTATATAAAAGATTTGATTATTGAAAGGCTAAATGAGAAAGAATTGGTAAGAAAGACCCACAACTACCAGTTATATAAGTAACAAAAGGCTATTTCTCTATTTCTGGTGTAATTCAAATGGTCCCATAATATAGGAATAAATAAAATACCAACTAGCCATTTTTCTCTTTTTTAAATCTCAGAAATAAGCCAACTGCTCTCTGATTTGGCTGTGATTCGAGTGCTGAAGGAAATGGACACAATCTAGTATAGCATAGCATGTGGTAGATTGTACAAACCCTGATTCAGAATCTTCATATGGTCCCTACATCCATAACATGTTTAAAATTTTGTGGCATAATACTTATACTAATTCTATTAATTTATTATAGTTAAATACTCCTTACCATCTCAATTTATATGAACATATTTAATAGGCACGAAATTTAAAAATAAATAAAAAATTAAAACTTGTTGTCTAAAATAAATCATAAAAATTTGTGTGGCTAGAAATTATCTCAGTAAGGATAAAAAGAAAAATTTAAAGTTAAGTTATTACTAAATATAGAAATGTATCATTCTTTTTTGGACGGAGTAAAAAAGAAAGAATATCACATAAATTGGGACCAAGAGAGTAATAATTAAGGTGCGAATGAGTATAAATTATTATAATTTAATAATAATAACATATTTGTGGAGACATATATTATATATTTATTAAATATTCTATGCAGATAAGTATTTACCGTGCTTTCAAAATACGTACTCTCTATTTTAAGTCATACAGTTGACTATTAAGTGGCCATATTATAAAGTGACAATATGCCTTAACTTGGGATGATGCAGTCCCAACTTTTGTTGTTATATGTCGATAGAACATGTGGACAGAAAATCTGAAACAAGAGACTTGAGAGAACGAGGGATATATCCTTTTAATTTTATCTCAAATTTTGTATTCACTTAATTGATCTACATTTGCAGGACTTTCATTATTAAGAGGACGAATTAGAGTTAAAATAAATAAACTATGCTTTAATGAAATAATCGTCTAGATGAAATAATTCAGGCAGTTCAAAATATCAACAACAACCCAGTGTAATCCCATAAAGTAGGGTCTGAGGGATAGAGTGAACTCAAATCTTACCCCTACCTTGTGAAGGTAGAGAGACTGTTTCCGATAGACCGACTCAAGATAAAAGTAAAAGAAGCAGACACAACATATAGTAACATCAAAAAGATAAGGTGATAGGGAGACAGGGTGATAGAATAATCGAAGTGAAAGGATCAACAAAAGGGAAAAGAAACCTACGAATATGAATGTATGAAAATAAAAAAGTAATACTAATGCGACCGACATGGAATTGAGACACTCCCTCCTAACTACTAACCTTCTACCTTAATTCCCAACCTCCACACCCTCTTATCAAGGGTTGTGTCCTCAGTAAGCTCAAGGTGCGCATCTCATGCCTAATCACCTCTCCCCACTACATCCTAGTCCTACCTCTACCTCTCCTCTACCCCATCATGGCCAACCTTTCGCACCTACTCACCAGGCATCTACACTCCTTGTCTTCACATGCCCGTACCATCTCAGCCTAGCTTCCCGCAACTTATCCTCTATTGGGGCCACTCCCACCTTATCTCGGATAACTTCATTCCTAATCTTATCTCTCTTGGTGTGCCCACACATCCATCTCAGCATCCTCATTTATGCTACTTTCATCTATTGTACATGGACATCTTGACCGGCCAACACTCCGCACCATACAACATAGTTGGTCTAATCACTACTCTGTAAAACTTGCCTTTGTGTCTTGATGGTACCTTCTTATTACACAAAACCCCCGAAGCGAGCCTCCATTTCATCCACCCCGCTCCAATTTGATGTGTGACATCCTCGTCTATCTTACAGTTACTAGAAATTATAGATCCAAAGGTACTTGAAATTCAAGTACCCCCGTTCTTGGGAATTACTTGTGAATCTAGCCTCACTTCTACGTGCTCTTCCTCAGTCACGCCGCTGAACTTACACTCCAAGTACTATGTTTTAGTCCTGCTCAACTTGAATCCTTTTGACTCCAAGGTTCGTCTCCAGACCTCCAGCCTCGCATTAAAACCGGCTCGCGTCTCGTCAATCAGTACTATATTCATCCGCAAATAACATGCACCATGGCACCTCCTCTTGAATGTGCCGCGTTAGAACATCCATCGCTTAGGCAAATAAAAATGGGCTAAGAGCGGATCCTGATGCAAACCCATCACAACTGGGAAATATTCCGAGTCCCCTCCGTCCATCCTAACCCGGGTCTTAGAACCATCATACATATCCTGAATCATCCTCGTATAAGCTACAGACACACCTCTAACCTCCAAACATCTCCATAGCACCTCCCTCGGGACTTTGCCGTAGGTTTTCTCTAGGTCAATGGATACCATATGCAAGTCCCTCTTCCTATCCCTATACTACTCTACCAGCCTCCTAATAAGGTGAATGACTTCAATAGTCAATCATCCCGGCATAAATTTGAAATGGTTCTCAGAGATAGATACACTCTTTCTCACCCTTATTTTCACCACCCTCTCCCAAACTTTGATCGTGTGACTTAGCAGCTTGATATCCTTGTAGTTGTTACAGTTTTGAATATCACCCTTATATTAGTAAAATAATATTTGTATATGTTTAGTCTAATAAAATGAATCAAGTTACCATTGCATGCAATGTAAGGAAATATATTGTAAAGCTTTAATAGTGGTGAATCCGATCCTCCATCTTAGATAC